CTTTTTGCGCGAGGACCGTTCGACAAACGGTGTTTTTTTTGCACCAGGTCCGACAATGAAATTAGGCTTTTACCTAGACCGTGTGTTCAGTAATCATTATATCAACTAATTACGCCTGGGAGGCTAGTGGCTACGGCATTACCACACGACAAGTACAAACAGTCCCCCTATCCATAACCTACCCTAACATCCTAACTCTAAACCGACTCCGGCTAATCTATTATATAGCGTGTCATATGTACCATCTATGTGGGGCGCCTGTGTTGTCAAAGCGATAGGATGGAGATGGCCTGTTTATATGATAAAAGATAAGAAACAATGATGACATCGACGTGTGTGTGCATGTAATCATCATCTGGGAAGTTTGTAGGTTCAAGCTTTAGGCTTTAGAGGACAGACATTATTTCAATTTAAGGCATTGCATATAACTGTAAGGAGTCAAGTATTTACTGACGATGAGCAGAGTAAATATCATGTGAAAGCTATGGCAATTAAGGAAGGCCGCTCCAATGCAGCCAACATGCTATGCTATGTCAAGGGCTGGCCAAGCTCTGCAAGCATAGTCAAGGCAGCTGTACCGGCAGTAAACGACATAGTTATTTATTCAAGAAATTGCTTCATGCCACTGCTAAACGGGAGCAGTACCGTTTGACTGATTATACTTGGATCTCACAATTCTGGACACAGGCAACAAGCCTAGAAATAGGTGAAACTTACTATTAATGGACAAGCTGCGCCTTAAGTTTTTCGGAATTGCATTGCTGATTGTACGCGTCACCGAAATGGATGCAAAAATATAAACGAGTGCTAGCTTTTTAGCTTTAATCATGACGAGTCAAACAGACATAGCTGGTAGATGAGCATGGTAAGCATTATATATGTTCTAGATCTGTCACAAAGGAAAGCAATCAGAGATGTGAATGGTTTTTAATGTTTCATCGATTTTTTTTGGTACCTTGTAACATATCATTCCGTTCGGTAAAATTTTATTTTTACTGGACTGAATGTCAGTATAAGGTTTTTGTCTTTTTTTTGTGCGAGCGACTGCCATCTTAAAGTTACACAAGCTGTTATCTTTATACTGATACTAACCGTGGCGTTAGCTAGGATTTTTCAGCATGGGGGGGGGGCGGCCTTGGGGGGCCTTACATTTCGTGGGGCGGCTCAATATATAATTTACTGAGATGTGGTTCGAACCCTCTTTCTTTGTATTATACTGTTCTAACGGCATTGTTTTTAATTCAAATTTTTTGTTATCAAGCATGAATTTACCGTGGCGGGGCACCTGGGGGAGCACAGAAAATTTGTGGGGGGGTGGGGCACGTGCCCCCCCAGGCCCCCCCGTAGCTACGCCCCTGCTGTACTACCGGTATAGCAAAGCCTATCATAGATTTTAGATCTGTATTAGTAGTATCCTAGATATATGCTCTGGGCGCGAACGCGGTGGCGGGAGGGCGCACTTGATTCGGTTGCCAGTGAGTTTATCAGAAGAATACCCGGCTACAGTACACGTCAGTTAAGCGCTGTCGCTCTGCGGCACTTGTTTAATAAAGTAGTTTTATGAAAACAATGGTGGTGGGTTTGTTTACTTGTGTGAAAAAAGTGACAACTAACAGAGTGAGATTGAAAGTGAAATTTTATTTTCAGGGTGCACTGAAATGCAGTCTAAGACATTCAAAATTTTAAAAATTGCTGTGGGAGATCCCTCAGAACCCCCCCTCCCTGCTCCCTCTCTCCCCCGCGTCCACCTGCAGCGTCCGCATGCGTGTCTACGGCATGCCTTTGAATCCATCATGTGCGTTTTTTCCCAAACTGGCCATTACCTCCTTTGTCTAATTTTCCCTCAGAAGAAACTGCTATATTGGGTCATGTTATGAATAATCTATATTAGGATCAGACTTTTGGCAGTTAATAAAACTGCTATATGGATGGCCATAGTTAACCGTTCCTAGTTTCTGTAAGCATGGATCTTTTTTCTGAAATCAAAAGAATCCAAGTTCGGTGTACACCTGTGTTTCAGGTACTTATCGTTCTCGCTCTACCAGCTGTTTTTCCTTATCGTTGGCTACTATGGCGGCGAGGAAAAGTTGCTGAATGCGTTGAGTAACGATGAGATCCGCATAAATCGCATTCCACTCACCTGCTGCTGCCCCTGCCTCCCCAAGATCAGTCTTACCAGGTGAGAGGGTGCTACTATTATCTTTTCTGGGCCGTGACCACTTGTATTGAGATGACCATCATATTATGTTGTATCATGTGTGCACGTGTATGAGTGCGTGCGTATGTGCGTGTGTTTAGTGTGCTGTGTGCCATGTGTATATCTGGTGTGTGTCTGGTGTGTGTGTGTGTATGTGTGTGTGTGTGTGTGTGTGTGTGTGTGTGTGCGTGCGTGCGTGCGTGCGTGCGTGCGTGCGTGCGCGCGCGCACACGCACGTGTGTGTTGTGTGTGTTTGTGCATGTCTCACATACTATCGGGGGTTAATAATGACCAGCATATCTGATTTGTGAATCACAAATTGTGATAATTTAGCATTAACTTGTCGTGGCAGTATGAGCATGCTATAAACACTGCATGTATTTGCACGTACATGTATTTGACTCCCTGAGCTATTATTTTGAACCATACAGGCCGATCTGAATTGACTTTAATCTTGTGATTACGATAAAGTGGGTAACTCTTATATGTGTGTGTGTGTGTGCAGGCGGAATTACACCATGCTGAAGCTAGGTGTCCTTCAGATAGTCATCGTGCGGCCCGCTGTGATGTTTATCAGTGCTGTTGTGTTGATAAACGGATCATTCATTAGGGGAGATGTATGTATTGGGACACGGTAATACGTATCTAGCTTATAACATGGGATTTGTGTGCGCATCATATTCAGAAATTGCAATGCGAGTGAAAGGCTCAAGTTTATTATTTGTTCTCCCATAAGGCCAAACAAAAAAATACCTTTGGTTCGGGTCACATGGATTGTGAAAATTAGGGTAGGTAGGTAGGCATACAATTTTTTTTTTTTTAACTTTTTTTCCTGTAAAAACATGGGTAGGCAGGAATATAATTTTTTTTCCCAAGTTAAATATATACAGCTTGAAATGCAGGAGTC